AATTATACCACATGTTAATATAGGGACTCTGGGGCAGATCTATAAATTATGCAACAGTTTTCCTGATTTATCAATTATATAACAGATGCAGTTGGTGAAAATCATTATATGTTTAACTTTTAGCCAAAGAAAATATATTGAATGTGCCCAAACACAGGGGAAAACAGCATGCACTGAATGTTCCAGCTTTATTTCCATGGGTCACTGATTGCCAAAGTTAGAATAACTTGTCCTTGGTTTTATGTGATTGGGCATGGAGAATTTTGCACACAATAGTGAAATATTAATTTAATCAGATTAATCCAATTAACCAAAACAACTTAACCAAAATAATTTGAATTATGGCTAGCATAGTTATAAAAAAAAAATGAAGTGGGTGGTGTGAGGTGGATTGTAATCTAATAAGCAGATTTTTGAATCCATCAGAGTAACACTGAATTTACATTTTAAGGGAGATCTGCAAGATAAAGTCAAAGTGTTAACTGAGTATCCCGTTAGAACAGTTTATTTTGCAAGTGATAGTTTAGATTGAGATGCTACATCGCTTTTTTGCATTTGTGTGATATTCTTGAATAGTCCTTACAACTTGGAGGAGAGAAAACATACTACATTCCATGATCTTGAGTGAAACTTTCTTCCCAATTTGCCACTGTAAAGACTTCTGGCAAAATATGTTCCTCAGTATTTTTAATGTGATGGCACTTGTCTTTTAGGAGCAAACGAATCAAAACATTTGAAGGAGAAAAAAACCCCTACTAGTTTATGCATTAATATGCAACACTTTCCCATAAAATCCTATAAAACAATCCTCCATCAGTTTTGGGGACTAAGACCATTTTAAGGTGAAACTTTACAATTGCTAGTTGTGTGTTCACGTCTTAGCAAAGGCTGGTTCACTGACTCTAAGAACTGCAACACTGGAAGGGATCTGGCAGTCATCTAGTTGAACCCCCTTCTTTAAATAAGCAGAGTAAATTAAAAGCCAGATGTGGTCAAGGTTACAGCGAAATTCACATAAGGTAAGTTAGTGATAGAACCATAGTCTGAGATTAGTAACTCTGAGCTGCAAGATCTTTTCTCTGCATGGGATCTGTGATCTCTCCGTTTACATTAAATTATAAACACACAGCTCTTTCTCCTCCAAAGTGTTAGTTTTCTGATGATTCTGCAGTGGTTGGTTCCTTCTCATTGAACAGGTGAAATTTAGAACTCCAGGGACTGGCTTTCAGACTTGTCCTGGGGGCTTGGATAGCTACTTTCAGATTATAGCTGAGAAGCTCTCCTTTGTTCTCCGTTCTTAATCGCTTTCCTCTTTTTGATGGATTTGAAACCCAGCAGTACAGATGAAATGATAAGAGTAAAAGTGTCTGGGAACTTAAGGAGATATTGCAAACATGTCCTATCTTGGGGGCTTGAATTTCGCTTTCTAAATCACTCACCAAATTCAAGTATCCTGCTCACAGTGTGGCCAAACATGCAAATATTTGCTTTCTGAGTAATTTGCCCTGATGACTTTGAAGCATTTTTGCAAAACAGTAGTGATATTGTTCTGCTCTGGCAGAAAGTATATCCCTTGTCAGATGTCCACAGAGATCCCAGCAGCCTGCAGACACATTGTTAAGGCTTGGGCACTGCAGAGTGTTTGCTAACCTTTCGTTCGGGTGGACAGGATGGTAGCTAGATCAGTTGCACATGCACAGGGTTTCACCACACATTTGCCACTCTTAGTTAACCGCTGGGAACTAGAAGCAGACATGCCTTGGCTTCTGAAGTAACATTCCCTTCTTCAAATACCTCTCACCCCTACTTGGCAGGAAGCATGAGCTCATTGGCAAGGTGTGAAGTGATCAGAAGAAGTTCTGTTTTCACATCTAAGATAGCTTCCAGGTTGATCATGTAAATCTGGTCAGTCAGAAAATGGAAGATTTCAGGGGCCTCCCCTGGTGGCGCAGCGGTTGAGTGCTGGGCTGCGAAGCTGCCCACAGCCTCTTCAGTGCCAGTTCGATCCCTGGCTGTAGGCGAGGGTCCCACATGGCATCACAGACCTCTCCTGCCACGCCCGCTACTCCCCTCAGCAGTGTATTTTGTCAGTCTGCCTGTTCTGTTCCCCGCTCTGGCTCTGGTGAATCCTCTCACCCTCCCGCATTTCTGACTGTACCCAGTGCTTGTATAAATAAATAAATCTTTAAAAAAAAAAGAAAAAAAAAGAAAATGGAAGATTTTAGCTATCACCGGTGCTCCAGCATTTGTCATTTGCCATTTGTGATTTGGCCGTTCTAGCTTGGGCTTTAAATTTAAGCAGTGGGATTCCAATGCCACCATGGAGCTTGTTTTAGGCAACACTGATGCTGGGAGCCTGATGTTATACTCAACAAGTAAAACATTTCTCTACTGGAGAGATGATGGAAGATTTCCCTGGGATTTAAAAAAGAGAGAGGCGTAGAAATCTAATTGCTAGTGATTTAGAAAAAATATAAACTAGGAGCTGTCAACATTCCACTTTTGTGGTTCATAGTCTCAGTGTACTTTAAAAACATCCTTCTGTTGCCTAACATTCTCTTCTGGGAAAATTTACTCCAAACAATATTAATTTTTTCTCCAAATTCTAAGAAGGGAGTCTACTGCAAATCTAGAAATGAAATTATTGCTTAGTCGTCCTTAAATTTTTTCAAAAATCATCAAACCTGTTACTGTTTATGCATAAAAAGGAGAAGTATATTCCAGGTAATATTGTTGTGTTCCTATCTTGCCTGCCTTTTAATCCTTCTGTTAAGGAACATTTAATACTACTGGTTGTTTTAGGTCCATGAGAAGATCAGTGAGTGAGACAGGGCATTTTATGGAAAAACAGCAAGAGTTGATAATATTCCCAATCTCAAAAAAAATAGAACAAATTAGGGGGTCAACATAGATATAAGTAACACTTTCAGGGCAAAATGAATGTTAAGGTCAGCTTTGAAGGAGAGAGCATACGTGGACTCATGGAGGGAGAGGGCTGTGTGCTTCGATGAAGGGATATTAAAGGGATAGAAGAATGCCAGGGAAGAATTCATGTTGTTAAAACATGCCAAAATCATTCATATAGCACCTAGTGGCTGTTTTCCCTAGCCTGGAGCCGTGAAATATTACTTCTACATGTGTCAGTACAAAGTTTCAGCTCATAGCTCTAGAATGAAGGGAGGTAGATAGAGAAATGTTTACGATCTGCTTCCTATTTTTAAGTTGCATGATTCTTCATGGAAGTCTGTGGAACCTTGAATTTTCAAGCTTGAACCACTAATTCCAGCAGTGGAGAAAGCACTTCTTTTTCAACAACTGGCAAAAGCAGCATTTATATTCTGAATAAGAGTTGGTATATATTGAAGAAGCACCCATTGTAAGATCATATTAGTATCTCAAGGTTCTAAGAATCTTGCAGAAGATAGGAGAGTTAAAAATGCTCCCTCTTAGAAAGTTTGTAAACTTACCATTAAACATCATAGAAACAGTGCATGATTCAAGTATGTGGAATGAAAAGTTACCATATAATGATGAGTCATTAGTGTATATAAAATAATTCAGGCAATAGAATAGGAAAGGCATTGCTTGGTACATCTCAGCCCTCAGCCTTCTCTTGTCATTCATGTTGGAACTTCACCTTTATGAATTCTTTCGTGTAAAGCTTACTCTTTGAAAATGTTTAGGCATTGGAGAAATTATGGATGGAGAAATTATGCTCCATCCTATTGCTGTTGTTTTATAATTGGTTTTACCTGAATATTAGTCATGCCTCTAAGAAATTGGGGTGTGATCTTCAGAATAAATCACAAACGGTGGACCATGAACCCTGGAATACAATTACTCAAATCAGGATTAGTGAAAACAGCATGGTGACTCTTGTGGAAACCCATAACCGCAAATGGCATTTCAGATAGGAGTTTGTGGGACTTTGGAAACAATATAGAATGACAGGCCTTTTCAGAGATGGTGTTTTCAGGTTTTTAAGAAGTAATACCATTACATTTTTAGTTTTCTTTTAATAGCAAATTGGAAAGGTGAGTTTCAGTTCTAGCTTTCACATCAAATTTCTACCAAATAGGTGCTTAAGTATTTAACATTTCATGTACAGAATGTGGATGGTGGATCAGAAATCTAAGATTGGACCTTGTCATTGATTAGATTAAAACTTATTTGGAAGAGAAGATATATACATAAAAAAACAAATAGCAAATGAGAAAGGATATCAAAATAATTAGGAGGAGAATATCAAAATAATTATATAATATACATATACAGCCTTAAAGGAAACTTGTGGGTAAAGAAAGTCAGATTGAGCCACCAGTGCTGCAGGAGGCAGCAGATGCCCAACCAAGGCTGCCCAAGGCCCCACTAGCACCAGCGACCCTAAATCCCCCACACCCTTGAACACCCAGGGCCAGCATGGGGGTGTAGCCATTCCCATCAGAATCCCCACCCACAGCAGCAGCTTGGCCCGGAAAGCAAAGAATGGAGAGACCCAAAAGCACTACAAACAGGGGATACACTGCTGCACCAGCAAGAGATCAGAACCCAGTCACAGAGACACGGAAGACATTTCTCCTATCAGGTGCAGAATTCAGGCTTACCATAGCCAAGAAATTCCAAGACCACAGAGAAAACACAGAAAAGCAGATCAAAGATATACAAGAAAATTCAGAAAAACAAATGAATAAATACCCTGAGAAACAAAATCAATGAGCAGAAGATCGAAAGTGATTTCAATAAAGTAAAATCCATGACCGTCTATAACAAAAGCCTCAGTTTTATCATTATTGGCGTCATACATCCACATGTATTTGCTCATCTCCATGCAAACACTTTAAAAAGTCTGTGAAAAGGTTTCATAGATAACATTTTTGGTATGGAAAAGCATTCTTGGTTATTTTTTGTACAGCTGGGAAATTATTTTCAAAATATCAAAAAAGGTTATAAATGAAACAAAATGTTTGCTCTTATGTGGCCCAATCATGAATAATGGAAAACTGTGGGCAATTTAGAAAGTTCAAAAAATCCATACCAGTGTAAAATGAGCCATTTTGATTGATGTGTTTCCAATGAATTTAAAATGTGGAAAGGACGGCTAATTGTCTTCTGTAAATGATCATGAAGAAAATAATGCATGTAAGCTAAGTGGATGCCTCTTGGATTAAGAAATTGCAAAAATATTTTTTCACCTGCTCTGTTGATAAAGCACAGTGATTAACAGATTTAGTTTTCAGTGTGAGTAGCAAGACTTCAAAGGCATTCATTGAGTAATGCAAAAATGCTCCAATGCAGAAACATTTTACACAGCAGGAACTTAAGTCCATGTGTACAGCAGGCTGCTCACATGGTGAAAAACAAAACAACACCGCCCCCTGCCCTGCTCTCCCCCGGCCTCCTCCCTGCTCCATTGACATGCATAGCTGGCCTGGTAGGTGTAAAAATAGACTGGCAGCGCCTGAATTGGAAGTAGCCACTGAATGCAGCCTGCAGTTGCTGGGGTTTTGAGTTCTCTCTGGCACCAGCAAGTCAGCCAGCAGATGGGGAGAACGGGTGAGGGGCATGGAGGGGAACTGATTGTCCACCTTAGTGTCCCCCTGGGAGTCCCGGACACGGCACAGAGGTGAACAACAGGACCGGGCCATCACCAGCGGGGCCAGGACATCTGAGATGGGCAATGCGGCTCTCTGCCCATCTTGCCATGCGGATAAGAGCGTAAGGGCACAAGGACAGTTGCTGGAATTGGATAAGACCCCGGATTACTATGGCTGTCACTGTGAGGACACCATCGAACCTGACAGGCGGGTGAGTTTGAAGCCACAGGCGTGGAGGGAGGGAGGGTGGTAGCCAAAGAATTAACAGTGGACCTCATTGGTCAAACCTTGAAACTTCCTGGAAGGAAGTTCACGGAATAAAACCAATGTGGCCAAACCACCTGATGCCCCTGATTCGGTGGCTGGTGTTTCCTCCTGGGCCATGCGGTGCCTGGTACTTGTTGCTTCTGAGTTGGTTTTAGCTATGAGCCCACATTTAGGAATAAGCAGCGATGCCATCTCTGTAATTTGAAATTCTGTCCGGAGTGTCAAACATATATTGTGAGTGGCTTGCAGCAATATTGGAGAAATTCATTTACATTCAGGCTGTCAAATTCTTTTGCCTATTTATATATTCATTTTCCACTAAGTCACAGAACAGTACTTTTTTTTGTCTTCTTTTTTTAAAGAATATTTTTTATTGCGTTGATACTGGTTTACATCAGCATGTTTCCAAGCATGTGCTAACTTTGAATCCCAGCCTCATCCTGTAAAGGCATTTTACTTCTAACATTTGACTAACTTCATTGCAAAGGCCTTTAAATACTATTCCAAGTATGAGGCTATTTTGTGAAAAAGCTTAAAAGTAGAGCAATCAAATATTTAAGTTGACTTTCAGATCTTAATAATTCAGAGGGCTGGTATGTTACATAAAATGTTACTTAAAATGGTTACAAAGGCTTATTGTGATGAGGGAGCACTAGGAATCTCTTTCCGCAATAGTTTGATTTTCATTTTTACTGGAGAATAAAGTTTACCTTTGATCTGCCAGACCAGGAATTTGACCTTATTGCAAGATCATTATTTTCGAGTGAAACCATGGGAAGGAGATATGGAGGCTTCTAGGGGAAACAGGTTGCAGTTAGCACACGCCTGCTATCTCAGGCGCCAGAATAGCAAGTCCGGGAGGAGAGGGCTGCTATCCTGTTCACTTTGACTTTGCTCTGACCTGGATGAATTTCATAAATCTGGAGCATTGAAATTCTATCAGCCACTGTGAAATGGAACTTACGGAAAATGAAAATAAATTAGTTGCCATGTCAGTCTTTGTAGTGAACAGAAGTGAAGAGAAAGTGTCAGTCAGCATTAAGCAAAAAAGAGGACAGAGCTTCTGGAATGGGTCTGGAAGTCAGCTGAGGCAAGAGAATAAACAGGAAGGTGGGGAGGGAAACCTTCCCCCGGGGAGAAGGGGCAGCACCTGCTCTAACAACGAGCACCCAGGCTGGTCCCCAGGAGCACTTGAATTTCTCCTTCTGTGTTAGGGCTTCAATTACCTCCATCTACCGGGAGGCTCACTCATATTTCCAAGCAGACACTTCCGGTGCGATTGGTGCCAAGAAATGCTTTCATAATGCATATACATTTAAATTCCCAACAAATAAAGTAACTGTACATTGTAGCATATCAGTGTATTCCTTGGCAAGTAAATACTTCTTTCAAAAGATAGTCCATGAATATTCTTTTATTCATTTAGAATTTAGACTTTAAGATATGGTTCAGTTACAGTATTTTTAAGTCACACCAGTGTGTTCCATTTTTTCAACTTTTAAAAATCATTAAGACAGTGGATTAACATAAGTTAGAGGTCCCTTAAAAACTAAGCCTGAAAAAAAATGTATTTTAAATAGAGACCAGGTTGGTGGTATCTCGAGGCATGGATAGGTTCTTGTAGGGGAAGAAAATGCCAACATGATTTTGAGGTGCGAGGGCTGAAATGACAAATTCATTCAAAACTTCAGAGTTCAGAGAATCACTAAAAACTTTTTAAAACCATATTCAACAGCAATATCATTCCCTTGTTAAAATCTTTCTGTCCCTGTTAATGTAGCTATTGGCCTTGAAAAAGTAAGTTCATTTTAATAAATATTTTAATACTTAAATATAACATTTACATTAATATATGCTATATTAATATATAATTTTTCTGAATTTAAAAGCATATTTCTAACCTGTTGATCACTGAGTAAACTCTTTTATGACAGAATGGATAGACTGTGAGGATTGTGTTGACATAAAAGCTATGGTAGAAGAGTTGCCTTATCATTGACCATCTGAGTTAGATTCTACCCAGAGTTTCTCCACTGTGGTCCCAGCATTCACGAGAAGTTCATTTTTGATGCCACACATAACTTAAGCAAGACAGGTAGTTCTTTCTAGTTTGTTTCCCAAACCTAAGAAATCTGCCCTATTTCTTAACTTTTAAATGGATACAAAAACACTGAAGTCATTCCCTCCTTAAATCATCTAGAAAAACACATTCCTAAATTAATCACTTTCAGTCACTCATGTGTCACAAGTAATTATAAATAATTAAGAAATTCAGGACTGGGCCTACCCTGGTGGCGCAGGCAGTTGAGCGCAGCACTGTGAAGCTATCCGCAGCCTCTGCAGCACAGGTTCGATCCCGGCCAGCAAGGGTCCCATATGGCGTGCAGACCTCTCCTGTCATGCCCGCTGCTCCCCTCAGCAGTGTGTTTCATCAGTCTGCCTGTTCTGTTCCCTGCTCTGTCTCTGGTGAATCCTCTCACCCTCCTGCGCATCTGTCCTGTGCCCCGGTTCTTGTATAAATAAATAAATAAAACGTAAAAAAAAAAAAGAAATTCAAGACTTATAGTTTTGATAATATTTTTTTAAGAAGGGACAGAAAGAAACACTTGCCACTTTCTTCCTTTGGAAATAAACTTAAAACATAAGAATAGTCCATCTTAGAAGATGATGTTGAGACTGGTAGACAATTCTGTAGTTTACTTAAATATTTTAGTTATTTGGAAAGCAATCTGAAAATATATCACACAATCTAGTTATAATACCTGGTTTTCATTTTGCTAGTGCAGTGAGGACCCTGGCAGCAGGTTGATATTTGCGTGGAGGAAAGAAGAATAGTCTCCTTCCAACCCAGACACAGATAGGGGGCTGGACTAGGCTTTGATTCATGCATCCATTCATCTTCAGGCCTTAAGGGCACAGGGAATCCTCCTACCTCCAGAGAGCTTATTCCAGATCCTCAGGGAAATACCTTCCTTTCTACTGAAAACATCAGACTCACAGCTGGTGTTGGGGGCTTTCTCTAAAATGTGGTTGCTTCTCACATTGAGCCTTCCAGGACTCCAAGACCCGCTGTTATCACGATCAACTTGATCGCTCCCAAGAGAAGAAGCATGTGAGGGCAGGAGAGAATCAAGAACAAAATCAGCTGTTTTTACATTCTTATTCAGAATTATTCAAGAGTGGTTCTGATCTTTTCTGTTGACTTTATAAGGGGAAAAAGTCATCTGAGGGCCTCCCTGGTGGCGCAAGGGGTTATGCACCGCATAATGAAGCAATCCACAGCCTCTGCAGCACGAGTTCGATTCCTGGCCAGCCAGGGAGCAACCCACATGGCAAAGCAGATCTCTCCTGTCTCGCCCACTGCTCCCCTCAGCAGTGTATTTCAGTCAGTCTGCCTGTTTTGTTCCCCACTCTGTCTTTGGTGGATTCTCTCACCCCCCGCATCTCTGGACTGTACCCCAGCTCTTGTATGCATAAAAATAAATAAAATAAATCTTAAAAAAAAGATTTATTTATGCATTCAAGAGCTGGGGTACAGGTCAGCGGTGTGGGGGGTGTAAAGATTTACGAGACACAGAGCGGGGAACAGAACAGGGAGATTGACCAAAATACACAACTGAGGGGAGCAGCTGGCAAGATAGGAGTGGTCTGCTGCGCCACATGGGCAGCTTTCTGGCTGGCCAGGGAATTGAACTCGTGCTGCAGAGGCTGTGGACAGCTTCATAGGTTGCGTCTTAACCCCTTGCACCACCAGAGAGGCCCAAAGAACTTTTTGCTTCTTGTATTAGCCTCTTCATTATTCTATATATTTCCTTGTGATTTTAGAGCATGAGTGGTGCATTCTGGTGTTACTATGGAAAGTCAGCACTTTTGTACTAGACTGAACTGAAAGACAATAAACCAACTAGCAAATATGTATCGAGCTAGGTCCAGTTCTAAGTGCTGTGGATATGCTGATAAGACAGAGTTTCTGCGGTAGGACACACACGCTTGAAACCGGCGTGGGGCATAGGGAGCACCACCGAGCTGAGGGAGGAATGTGTGAGGTGTGTCCAAGGAGAGCCATCAAGGCTGAATCATAGTGAATAAACAGTGAAGAGACAGGCATGGGCCACCTTGACAGAAGTTTGGATTTCTTTCTCCGTGTAGTAGGTCTTTGTAAAGAAGTTTGGATTTCACTTAAAGTATAGTACGATCTGGTTTATGCTTTGAAAGATTTCTCCCCTCCCTCTCTCTCCCATTCCCTCCCCCTTCTTGGTGTAGGGTAGATTGTGAGTACAGCAGGAACGGAAGAAGGGAGGCCAATTTAAGTTGTTCTAGGAACCCCTGTGGTCAACCATGAGGGATGAGGGAGGATTGGATTAGTGTATTATTGGTGGAAGAGACAAGTGATCGAATTCAAGATGTGATTTTGTAATTTTGTTTTCACTGAAGGACTGAATGGGCATTATAAAAACAGAGAAGGGGTTTGGGGCTTAAGCAATTAGGATCAAAATAATGTTATTTACTGACATGGAGGTGTGTGGGTATGTGAGAGAGAGAGTGTGTGTGTGTGTGTGTGTGTGTGTGTGTGTGTGTGTGTGAGAGAGAGAGAGAGAGAGAGAGAGAGAGAAATGATCCTTATCTATGAAACATGCTGGTATGTCAAGAAAGATAAACTTTCTTCAGTTTTGAGTATTAAGAAGATAGAATCAACGACTTTAAATGTTATACTGAGCATTATTACTAGTAGCTGTTTTATATTTGCTATATGATTAGTTTTGATATTAATCTTAAAAAGGACCAACAACATGATGAAAATCACCTTGTTAAAGCATTTCAAAATATGAACTGATCTAGAACTTGAATGATATATTGAAAGATAAATAGTGAAAGAAGATAAAGCAAGGTCTATGTCCTCGAGGAACTTAAAATCCTTCTTAGAAATCAGACTATCTACACGTA